GATTTGAAATACTACAATGAACAGCTTAAAGGGATTTATTGATTACACTAACCTTGGCCAGTTTATCATAAGAATCAGCAGTCTTAGGAACCAAACCAGCCAAAGCATCCTTCTTAACATTTTCAAGAAGCCACTTGGGCCAACCACCCACAAGATCATCTCCTCCACCTCCGTTAATCTTCTTATTGTTCACTCCCTGGTCACTGACGACATTATCGTTCCCTCCATTGCCATCACTCTTGCTCTTCGCTATCTTTTTGCCTAACCCTCTCGAGACCGCATTGGTCTCTCCTCCTCCTACTCCGCCTGATCTTTTAGTGGCTCTTCCCACCGCGACGGTGATCTTGTTGTCCTTCGCTTCGCGCCTGATGGCGGGCTTATTATTGCTGCGATCCTTCTCAGCCTTGATGTAACCTCTCTCGAGCTTCGTCTTCTCAAGACCGCGGGGTGGCGAGGTCGTGGGTGGCCTCGACTGAGCACACCCCATTGTTGTCGTTTCACAAGGGTAGAGAGAGCTTCGAAGAGGGTCTGGGTGCAACTGGTTCCAGGGAATGAATACAACGGAAAGAGCAAGGAGACAACATTGTAAGGAACGAAACGTTGAACGAGTTTGTGATGATGAAGAGGATGAACGAGAATGTGTGTGGAGCAAAATGCTCGTGATAGTCTCCGTCCTTTTGGCCGGCATGGCTTGGAACTTTCTAACGTGTAATTAGTAACAAGTTTCGTCACAATATCAAGCACATCGAATAGTGCACCGGGGGCGCCAACTCGCTTTGTTAAATCAGGTCAAATCGCATTCCAGAATTCCGTAGACCCACGCTAAATCCAAAAGCAGAATACGTCCTCACATATTCTCTGCTTTGTGATTGTTCTTGACTATATCCATCACTGATTTCATTAAACATTAGTCCTTAGGTGATCCTCAGAATTGCGCTCGCCTCGGCTCCTCTGCCTGGAATGCGGATACACGGCTTTCTCAACGACACTGGGTATGGAAAAATGGAATGGATGATTAGAATGGAATAGAATCGAATGTCAATAAAAGTGGGCATTGGCATTGTTGTTCATTGTGCTTGTGCTAATAATAATGTGTCAAAATAATTGGTCTCACACTGCTGCAGTTATTGCTGAACTTATCACCTCTTAATTTGATCATCGTCAATACTTTGGGTTAAATTTGATCCTCTGACCCTGCAATTACTTTTTTCTCTGGCGGACCTTTTAGTTACTTGAAGTGTATTTGGCTCGGAGTTCTTCTAAAGTTCGTTTTTACTGAGAATGGAAATGTCCCATTCCTTATCAATTCGTAAGTTTTTCGAAACACTTGTTGCACACATTATATTCTAGAGATATCTAGGATATTTCCTTTGTTTCTCCTTATGCATATCTGATATGATTGTCATCTACTCAAGCCTATTAGGCTTCATGTACTCTTTTGTATTGACATTAAAAATATACAGAATATATCTATCCCACTTTATTCACGTGGTGTTAGAGCAAATTCATCATCAAACATAACCAGTACGTTGCCTTCAGAAGACTGTGGCAAAGAAGAAGGATCAGCACCAGATGCAACATGGTCTCCCATATAACTTGTAGCAAAATTTGTTAATGTGACCAGGTTTGCAACACTAATAACAAGTTCAAACAGCCCCTGAACTATTAATAGAAATATGGGACTGTCCATAAAGATGCTGTTGACCTTGGCCTCTCCTTATTCTTGTGCCTTGGCCGCCGCCACGGCCATTATGTCCTGCATGATTTCCTCCATCACTCCTACCACCACCAAAGATTTGAGATTGGGACACGAGCTGAACTATCTACCACAGACGTGGTGTCTTAAGTAGACTCATAAGATACCTGAAGAACTCAAGCAAATGCACTTGTGAGGGATGCAATAGTCTCTCTCCAAGAATTTGAAATCTAACATATTCGTAGTCTGAATCGAGACATCCTAGGAATCCCATTACAATCAATTTTTCTCTCTAAAGTTGCATTTGTTAAACATTGACTGAAATAGGGAGAAGAGCACTCAACTCCTCATGCATCTTCTAATAATCAGCGAAGTACCATGTAACGGAATGCACCTTCTTCTTGGATCGATAAAACTCTTGCGATAACTCATAAATCAGTGAAAGATTATTTTGGCCAGAATACAATATATACAAATACTCCCACATTTATCTGACTGTGTTAATGTGAGTTATGAGATCGACTATATTACTCTTCATAGAGTTCAGCATCTAACTAAGAATACGTGCATTAACTACATCCCAAGTTGCATCATCATTGGGTTTAGGCCCAGTCAAGTGTATATGCTGATTTCTGCATGTCAAAGTTAGCTTTACAATTTGCTTCCATTGTTGAAAGTTGGCACTACCCTCAAGCTTCTTATTGGTAATTTGATTAGAAGAAGAGAAAATCACATTAGTCATCACAGTATTACTCTTCTCAGGATCAACCATTCTCCAATAAGAAAACTACCACAATATTTTACTTCAAGCAACTCAATCTCAACAATTCAATAATATAACACAATTGAAAAATGTCACATCAATAAATCACTAACAATGTCATCATAGTAGAGTACCTATAACCTTCAAAGATTAATTAGGAGAATAAGACCAACAAAGACCAAATTAGATAATCCACCCAAATTTCGTCCAAATTTCACAAAGTCGATCCTTGCAAAGTCAGTTCTCGCAACCCGATGTCCTCAAAACCACCCTCGAGATTCCAAACATCCCCACCTCCAAAGACCACGCCAATTGACTTCGCGAACCTGCGCTAGCTGAAGATGATGTAGTAGTGACAGGTTGAACGGGGGGAGCAGTAGCTATCGAGGACGCCAAGTATAAACCATCTTGTATCTGATCTTGATCTTCCTATTACTCATCGCAAAGGTACAAACAATATTCTATTACAAACTTTATTTTATACTCTTCTGTGTCTCCTTCCTTTCGGTCATTTTTATCTACTATTGAGGAATATTGTGTTCCCAAGTCTATAGTTGAGGCATTACAAAGCTCTTTCCGGAAGACAGTTATAGAAGATGGCGTAGCCCCAAGTTGACTACTCAAACAACAGGATTGGAAGAGTGGCTTGCACGCACGGAAACTCCATCGCAAAATCGAGAGAAATTTCAATTTTGCGCTAGTTTGGGAAAATGGGCATAACTCCATCAAATCAGATCATAATGACCTAATTCCAAATCCAAAAGAACAAGGACTCCTGGATCTACAAATTTTGTGTTTTTGAGCTTTCCCAAATAAGCACTGCAGAGTTATCAAATTCAGAAGGAAAGTGGATGGTCGTGACTGGTCAGGATGCAGGAAAGGATAGGAACTTCAAGGATGCTCTTCTAGGCCTCCAAGGAAGTTGAAAGGGCATCGATTCTTCTAGATTGATGGCTGCAACTCTTTAAGGATGCAGACTTGAAAAAATCAGACTCTTTAAGGATAGAGTGAAAACTCTTCTAAGTTTTCAAGGAGTTTGAACTCTTCGAGGTTCGAGGGAATTGCACTAGGCAAATTTCATTAATCATCTTTAGTCTACCTGTTTACATGGACTTGAAGCCCTTTTATACAAAAATAGAAGAAGAGCAAAAGTCTAAACCTAGAAACTATAAGTTATTAAAGCACATAGAAACTATGAACTATTAAATGTACAATATTTTCAATTCTAGTGGCCGTCTCAAGGAGTCTTGATGCAAGCTTCGATGCACGGAAAATGACAAAGTCAACGATGAGGCTTTTCTCTTATCGAACTTATTGGTAAGACTCTTGTCGATAAATTGACAAAGCCAAAGATGAGGTTTTTCTCTTATCGATCTTATCGGTAAGACTCTTGTCGATTTGTCTGTCTTGAATACGAGCCTATCTTCTTGGTTGAACAAGTCGGTCTTGAAGCTGGGCTGCATCATTCCCCCCTTCTTTAAAAGAATTCGACCCCGAATTCGAATCATCATCAGTGGAAGAATCACCCACATAAGGTGTTAAATGCCGAACATTGAACTCGTCATGTATCTTCGTATGAGAAGGCAACTTTAGTCGATATGCATTAGGATTGATACGCTCAAGAACTTCAAGCGGACCAAGCTTTCGATCAGTAAGCTTGTTGTAGGTTCCGACGAGAGGACGCTCCGGTGGCAAATATGTGACATTCCGAAATTTCCACAAATTGGAATTTATTGAATAATTGAGTTTTATGAAATGTGCTCGCAGTAAATTCTCGCCCGGAACTGATCATTCCTGGGAATGCTAACCATTAGGGAAAGGCTAATAGGGGAATTAAATTCGCGCGACTAAAGAAAATTCGACCGTGAATGGACTTCGACCATTAAATCGCGTAAGTGATATTTTGAGCCACTGTTGGCCGATCCAAGGATAGTTAGGGGTCAGTTCGCCACTGTCCTAGTAGTGGATCGCGGGTGATTCCGTTGGACCACGAAACGACTTGACGAATGATTCCGAAATTATACCGAACGATCGTACCCCTCGGATCAAGTGATTGATCTTCGCGATTTTTATGACAACCGAGATCGTCACGCATTGAACGGACTTGCACGTGACTCGATTCAGTATCAGTCATGAGTCGATTCTGCGAGTTTCCCCAGCAAGCCGCCCGTTAGCTTGAGAAACGCTCGAGTTGCGTTTAATAGAATTTAATTATGGAATTTTTGTCCAAATTGGACACTTGAAAATTAGGAAGTCACGCCGGAACGTTAGGACGACGTTGTACGTGACACGTGTGAAATTTTGGTGTGCTCAAATTCTTCAGAAAAATTCAATTTGGACAAGAAACGAAGAAGTTGACTGTTTTGCCCTTAAGGATTAACAAAGGGCATGCTTATGGAAGAAGGGGTATTTTAGTCATTTTTGCTTTAGATATTTTTTTGGGTCAAAGTTTCTAGATAAGACCCTCTCCTCTCTCTCTCCCTCTCCTTCGTGGACTTCCCCCCCCCCCCCCCCTTTTTCTTTTTTGGCCGTGAGTTTCCCCTCCTCCACCGTGAGTTCTTCCTTGACCATTTTCTCCACCGCCGGCGCCGCCGCTCGCCGCCACCACACCGGACCACCCTCAAGCCACCGTCCACGCCGCCGTACGCCACCATCACCCCCTCCCGCCGTCCCTCTCTCTCTCTCTTGGCCGTGAGGCCCTCGGCCACGCGCAAGCCACGCCATCGCCGTCCAAGCCGATCGCCGCCACCCGGAAGTTGTACGTCATCGCCGTTGTCCCCGATTAAGGGTCGCTGCTTTCCGTTCTAGCCGAGGAAGTCTAGAACGCGGGTAAGTCGCGCCTAAACCTAATTTAGGACTTTGGGTATCGACGGGTAAATTCGAACAAAATCAGTATGGAATTAGGTGCGGAATCACATGGATAGGGGGTGAAAATTTTATGGAGGGCCTTAGGAATTAATTCGGGTAATATTTATTGGAAATTCAGAAAATTAGGGGCTGCGAATTACTGTTCATATGCCTCGAATCACTGTTCACTGGCTGTGGGTTACTGTTCACCGAGCTGTGATGGTCCGATTGGGACGCAAGTTGAATTTTTGGAAGCTAGATATTTTGGCGAGAAAGTCCCGTGAAGGATCGGAATTAATCCGACGCCGTTTGGTTAGAGAAAAATGGGAATTATCGTATTGGATGCATATTTAAATTATTAGTAAATTGTGCTAATTAAGTTGAGTATGCTGTGGCGTGCTGTTGGGTACGAGAATGATACCGTTGAGTCCGGCTCGGAGTTTCATGTAAGTGTCGGGAAGAGTCGGTGGTGTGATTTTGTGGTTTGAGTGCAGAAATTACTGTTCACGAGCTGTGGGAGTACTGTGCACTGTGCTGTGGTGAGTCGTTTGATGCGTGTTCGGTACCGTTAGGTCCGTCTTGGAATTTTATGAAAATCCCGTGAAGGGCTGAAAATGATTTGAAAACATTTGAACAAAGAAAAATGTTGTTATATGCGAAAATGTGCTTTTGTGTGAAAATGGTGATGTGGTGAAGTGTGGGGTGCAAGTGTGCACGGAATTTGAGGCAATGGCATGAGAAAGTGAATGTGGGATCGGACCGAGGCGTGTGATGCTCGGGGCGCGATCGAGGGGCCTGAGGCGTGAACGAGTACGCGGGCCGGATGTGGTGAGTGGTCGCAGTGTACCTGAGGCGTGTACGTTTACGCGGGTCACTGGCGAAGAATGAGAAAGAGGAAATGAGAATGGACGGAATAATGGGATAAGAGTGGTATATGCGCGTGTTTACATCTGACAGGATTGAGTTGAATGATGTTGTGCGCATGTTTGAGCCTGGCAATATTATTTGTTGTGCCTGCAATGTGATGTTTCAGCGTGTGGTGATATTGAGTGTTTGAATTTAATTGGCGCTCATGGTGCATTGCATTGCATAACATGGACACGCATTGTGTATGCCGAGAGTGAGGTATGTGATGAAATTGTGTGAAAATGCGTGTCTGCCATGAGCATGTGATTACCTAAAATGCCCTGAAGCGTTATACGCTGGGTTCAGATAATAATAAGTTGTGTGATCACCGAAGGACCTTCGGGTCGTGACCTTCGGGTCGATACCGTCCTCATGCACTTTGAAGCAGGACGATGTCCGGTACGTCCGGAAGACGACCATCCTCATGCACTTTGAAGCAGGCTCTGGTTCGTAAGGAGATCAGTGTTGCGCCTCATGCACTTTAAAGCAGGCTAGAGACACTGGGCCAGATCGGTTGCTGCGCCTCATGCACTTTGAAGCAGGCTAGACGCACCGGGCCGTTAATAATGTGGACTCGAGTCGTAATTAATAATAAATTGAGAAATTGCCAGTGTGCCAGTGTGGGCCAGTGGGCCGGAGAATGCGTATGACATGTAGACGACATTTACATGCATGGAACATGCATAGACTGGCATGCGAATGTATGAGAATCGGTGCATGAATGTGTGATTGACATACGTGTGATTATGCGTGCCACGCATGTGCCGTGACTATTGTATGTTGATCTGCCTAACCTGCAGGGTCAGATAATTGTCTGACTATTGTGGTATTGTGATTTGAATAATTGTTTCCAGTCAGGAGATTGCATGCTAGCCTAGCCTAGGTTGGGTTTAGGGGTGAACTTACTGAGAAGTGTTCTCACGGTTGTTTCAACCAACAATTTCAGAACCCCGACAGGACCCATGAATCTTCCGCCACCGCCACCAGAACGTTTTGGAGTCCTCAGTGGATGGGACGGTATAAAGGGACTCAGACTCAGAGGACAAGGAATCAGACTCAAAATGGGTTTTTGGCGAGCACCCTTTTTGGAGTAGTAGTAAACCCAAGTTTTCATCCTTGGAGTATCGGTTTTTGAGAAAGGCGATATGCATGTACATGTATGGGACAGTTTATAAATGTAAATATTATGGTATAAGAAGGAAATGAAAAAGATATGTATATTCTCCCTGATTTTTCTCCCCAGTTTTAATTGTCCGGGTTTAATTGTTGATATCCGCTGTGGTAGTAAATCTCTGATGGCGAATTTGAGGTCAGCGATAGTCCTGGGACGTCGCTTGAATCGACCAGAGGCGGTGTCGCGTGCCGTAGGGGTTCGGGGCGTGACAAAATAAGCCCAAACAAAGTCTCCTGGTTCAAAGATGATTTTGTGTCGACACTTATCGACATCCTTTTTATAGCACTCGACCTTATTCTCCAACCGTTGGCGCACATTTTTATGAACTAGCCTCATTTGAGAAACAATAGCATCCACCTTATCAATCGCCTTTTCAGCAAAAGGAATAGGTGCAAGATCAAGAGCAGTCTTCGGTTGTCGATCATATACAATCACAAAGGGACTATATCCAGTGGTACAATTCACCGAACAATTATAGACAAATTCTCCAAGTGACAACCGTGTCTCCCAAGAACAGGGGTTATCATCAATCAAAGTCCTTAATAGATTTCCCAAGGACCAATTGACAACTGCAGTTTGTCCATCCGTTTGGGGGTGAAACACAGTACTATATTGTAGCTTAATACCAATGTTCTTCCATAATTGTTGCCAAAAGTGACTGAGAAACTTGGTGTCCCGATTAGAAGTAATTGTTTTAGAAAGGCCATACAACTTATAGACTTCTTTGAATAATAATTCAGCTATTCGTGAAGCATCCATAGTTTTGCGACAAGGAATGAAATGTGCCGTCTTGGAAAATCTATCTACAACCACAAAGATTGAATCCATATCTCTAAGTGTACGCGGTAGTCCGAGGATAAAGTCCATAGAGATATCTTCCCAAAGGGCTTGTGGTATTGGCAAAGGCAAATAGAGACCAGCATTAGACAACCCAAATGGCATGACTAGCCACTCAAACAGTCCATCCTTGGTTTTGAATGCGGTTTTCCATTCATCTCTAGGCTTGATTCTGATTTGATGATAACCGCTCTTTAAATCTAGCTTTGAGAAGATGGTTGCACCATAAAGTTGATCCAAAAGATCATCAAGACGAGGAATAGGAAAGCGGTACTTGATGGTGATCTTGTTGATTGCCCTATTGTCGATACACTTTCTCTAAGTGCCATTTTTCTTCTGCACCAAGAGGGCTGGAACGGCACATGGGCTGAGGCTCTCCCTTATAAGATCCCTGTTCAAAAGTTCTATAACTTGTCTCTGCAATTCTTCATGTTCAGCCGGACTCATTTGGTAATGAGCAAGATTGGGTAGTGAAGCTTCGGGCATCAAGTCAATTTGATGCTGAATATCTCTCATAGGAGGAAGACCAGGTGGTAAATCTAATGGAAAGACATCTTTAAATTCTTCCAACAAAGACTGAGCTTGATGGGGTATGCGAGGTACAATTAGATTCTCCACACCTGTTTTGTTAAAAAAAACATACACAATACTAGCATCTTTCATGACACCATTTACATCTTTCATTGTGAGTAAAGTAGGGGATAAGGAATTCTCAACCAAAGGAGTTTTGAGAGGTTCCTTACTAGGCGCAAAAGTAATTTTCTTTCCTCAATACATAAAAGAATACGTATTATGATAGCCATCATGAGCAGTCCTCCTATCAAATTGCCATGATAGGCCAATAATAATATGACTAGCATCCATAGGAAGAACATCGCACCATATCTTATCAAAATAGATAGAGCCGATGGAAAGATTGACAAGGCATCGTTTGGAAACGGTTGCCTCGGAACCTTTCTTCAACCACGACATTTTGTAAGGCGTAGGGTGTGCTTTTAACTCAAATTTCAATTTGCTTGCCACCACGTTAGAAATCACATTTTCACAACAACCAGAGTCAATAATTAATTGACATACCTTCCCTAAAATGGTGCAGGCTGAATGAAAAATATTAGTGTGTAGCCACCTATCTCCGGTGTCATGTTTAGGAGTGAGGAAAATTTTTTTCACCATAAGAAGCTCTCTGGAATCAGCATGTATTATTTGTTCATCATCCGCAACAACTTCATCATCTTTTGATTCTTCATCACGTGGTTCATCCGAATTTTTATCAGACTCATTATCTACCAATAAAGCTTTACCGGCTGGCCGATTCTTGTTGATTTGACAATTACTAGCACGATGACCTATCTCCCCACAACAATAACAACGCATACCAGTTGTAGATGGTTATTTTGAAATGTTGGGTTGAGAAGAAGGCTTACTAGTAGATTGTGCCATAGGTTCAATAACTTTGACAGTGCCGGTGGTAGTCCTAGTTGTCCTATTTGGTAAGGTAGAAGGTTTTTCCCTCCTAGAGCGAGAACGCTCCACTTTGAGTGCCCATTGATGTGCATCTCCTAAATCCCAAATGTCAAGAACTTTTAAGGCATCTTGGATATGAAGTTGAAGACCATTCAAGTACTTGTTTACAAGCACCTCTTCTGGATCTTGAATGTTGTTGCGAATCACCAACTCATCGAATTCGTTGGTGTATTGGTCTACCATTCGCATACCTTGTCTCAGATTTTGGTATCTCTGGTAGAGCTCTCTCTTGTATCCTTTGGGCAGGAAGTACTTTCGAATCTTGTCCTCCATTTTTCTCCATGAAGTGATTGGAGTCTTGCCAACAGATTGGCGAGTTTGCTTCTCACATCTCCACCAAGCTATAGCCTTGCCTCGGAATCGCATAGCAATGATGCCAACGCGACGATCATCCTAGACATTCCTATGCTCGAAAACTTCATTCACAAGTGTCAACCAATCGAAAATTTCATTAGCAAAAATTGGTACCTGAAAATTTTGGAATATCTCTCTTGATTTCCCTTTCCCAATCCGGTTCACAAACTTCTTGTCCGCGAAACGGAGTATTCCTCCTTCGGGGAAAAGATTGCACACTTTCTGAAGAAGAAGAATCACCATTGGATTCTCTAGTTCTGGAACGGGGCAGAGGATTGTTTGCTTCAGCCCTCAGATGCTGAACTTCTTGGGTCAAGTCATCAATTCGTTGCTGCAAGTTTGCCGCAAGTGTGTGCACTTTGTCTAATAGAATGGTCCTGCCACCTCGACGTCTTGCTTGTCTTGGAGGCATTGTCCTCTCTTCCAAGGCTCTGATACCAAATGACATAACCCCAAGGTCGACTACTTGAACAACAGGATTGGGAGAGTGACTTGCACACACGGAAACTCCGTCGCAAAATCGAGCAGAAATTTCAGTTCTACGCTAGTTTGGGAAAATGGGCATAACTCTGTCAAATCAGATCGAAATGACCTGATTCTAAAGCCAAAAGAACAAGGACTCCTGGATCTACAACTTTTGTGTTTTGAGCTTTCTCAAATAAGCACTGCAAAGTTGTCAAATTTAGAAGGAAAGTGGACGGTCGTGACTGGTCAGGATGCGGGAAAGGATAGGAACTTCAAGGATGCTCTTCTAGGCCTCCAACAAAGTTGAAAGGGCATCAATTCTTCTAGATTGATGGCTGCAACTCTTTAAGGATGCAGACTTGAAAAGCTCAGACTCTTTAAGGACAAAGTAAAAACTCTTCTAGGTCTTTAAGGAGTTTGAACTCTTCGAGGTTCGAGAGAATTGCACTAGGCAAATTTTATTAATCATCTTTAGTCTATCTGTTTACATGAACTTGAAGCCCTTTTATGTAAAAACAGAAGAAGAGCGAAAGTCTAAACCTAGAAACCATAAGTTATTAAAGTACATAGAAACTAGAAACACTTAGAAACTAGGAACTATTAAATGTACAATATTTTCAATGCTAGTGGCTGTCTCGAGGAGTCTTGATGCAAGCTTCGATGCACGGAAAATGACAAAGTCAAAGATGAGGCTTTTCGCTTATCGAACTTATCGGTAAGACTCTTGTCGATAAATTGACAAAGCCAAAGATGAGGCTGTTTTCTTATCGATCTTATCGGTAAGACTCTTGTCGATTTGTTTGTCTTGAATACAAGCCAATCTTCTTGGCTGAACAAGTTGATCTTGAAGCTGGGTTGCATCAAAAGAAGAATTAAAGGCCCTACAGGTTAATCAAACTTGGGACTGGTACCTCTTCTTTCAAGCAAAACTGCTATTGATTATCACTGGGTGTATGCTATGAAAGTCAATCCCGATTGTTCTCTTACTTGCTTAAAAGCAAGATTTGTTGCGATAGAGTATGTTCAGGAGTATGTGGTTGACTATTTAGATACATTTTTCTCCCGTTGTCAAGCATACATCCGTTTGTATTTGATCTCTCTTACTGACACATATAGGCCCTTGTTTTAGCTTCATGTCAAGAATGCTTTCTTGCATGGTACTCTTCATGAGAAGGTGTATATGGAGCAACCTTCGGAGTTTGTTGCTTGGGGGAGTCCGGGAAACTAGTTTGCAAGTTAAAAAAGTTGTGTGGTTTGAAACAGTCCCCACGGGCATGGTTTGGAAGATTTTTTGAGGTTGTACTCTCTTTTGGATTAACTAGAAGTGAAAATGATCACTCTTTCTTTTATAAATTGTCAGAAGGAAGCAAGCTATTCTTGATTGTGTATGTTGATAATAATTATCATTACCAGAGATGACTTGGTTCTGAACTAAAGCTCTATTTTCAGAAATAGTTTCAAACTAAGGACTTGGAAAAGTTGAAGTATTTTCTAGGAATTAAGGTGGCATAATCACAGAAAGGTATTATTTTGTCATAGCAAAAATATGTCGTAGATTTGCTCCATGAGACAGGCATGTTAGGATCAAAGCCTTTTCATTCACCTGTGGAATAAGGAGTAAAATTGGTTACTGAGGGAGGAGAGATTTTTGATAATCTTGAGAGATATAGAAGACTGATAGATAAGCTGAATTATCTCACAATTACTCAACCAGACATTTCCTTTCCAGTTAGTGTGGTAAGCCAATTCTTGTCTTCCCCTTGTACTTCTCATTGGGATGCAGTTGTTCGAATTTTAAGGTACTTGAAGAAGGCTCCAGGGAAATGAATTGTTTACCAAAATCATGGTCATAGCAAAGTTGAAGGATT